AACTCTTGAGCCACGATCGCCCCATATACATCTTAACAGGAAAACTGTGAAATTTTAGCACTCTATTAGTTTGTTTATAAAAACTATGCTCTTGTGGTAAAGTCAGGTGCCTTTTCAAGCTTTTCTTAAACAGAATTTTCTCTAGAGTCATTTTCAAATAGATATGTCTATATCAATCTATATCTATAATTTCTTCAGGTATATCATTCACAGGCCAAATACCTGCTGCCTTGATTTCAGGCATATGGAATTTCAAGAGTGTAGCTGAAGTTCAGCATCAAATAATGTGAGCATGAATTAGCTTGAAACAAAAGTAGAGGGTTAAAGCTTGTATCACAGATTTCCATATATGAGGTGTACATTATACTGCAACACTACAGTATAGTGTCACATCAGATGACTGGTCTTAAAGACAGTGTGTGTGTGTGTGTGTGTGTGTGTGTGTGTGTGTGTGTGTGTGTGTGTGTGTGTGTGTGTGTGTGTGTGTGTGTTTATATAAGTTTATTGTGATATTCCAAAGAAATCACACCATCATGAGCAAAACATTTTTTAATAGCAAACAAATAATGGTAGAGCTAAAATCTGGCAGTTTTTCTGTTAAGACATGCATCATCACCCTGGAATTTTCTCAGGGAAATCAGAAATGGCCGCGCTAGCTTGTGTGATGTAGGCAAGACAAGAATCACTAAGAAGTGAATCACCCAACCCCTCCATAACACTGAGAAAAAAAAGCCGTTTGCTTGGTTCCTTATCTTGCTTCTTTATCTTGTTAACCTGATATGCTTATATGCATTTTATCATCATCATAAATATGCAGCTTTTCCTGAAGACTCCAGGAGGTTCATTTGAAAAGTCACTTGTAGGTCCTAACATGAGGCTTCTTTGTTTAGCTGTGGGTTTCTTTGGTGTTGTTGTCGTTGTTTGTGGATTTTCTTTGCTTGATTGATTTCGCCTGTGTTACATCATAAACATGTTATATCATATATAAATCATATAAATCATGGTAATGTTGGTCTCAGGACAAAGGACACTTTGAAATAGAACATGTTTTTCTTTTCCTGTTTCTAAACACACACACACACACACATCTTGTCCATTTGCCAGTTCCTGCTATCATCACTTTGGTCATAATCACCACAGGCCGCACAAACATTATATTAAAAGGTTGTTTGTGTAGGGATAAAATAAAAATATCACTTTTGTTTGTGTTTTTGGGTTTTTTTTGTTCAGGTAGGAGGTTACTTTTCTCGATCCTGGCCCCTAACAGCTTTAGTCTTTGCGACATCTTCACCAAGTTTCTGTGGCGTGACTGTGCATGTTTTGGAAAGACAGTTAGGAAGTTTATATTGCTGTGATAATATGAATCCCTACGGACACAATTGTTTTAGCTGTTGTGACTTTAACTTGGCAACCATGGTTAGTTTGACCCTTGCTGGCTGCCATAAAGAACAACAGACCTCAGTGCAGATACACCCTTCCTTTATCAGAGCCTGGATTATAAGTTTGGATGCATGCAATTGTGGGAGGTGAGGGTGTGTGCTTTGCAGGCAAGTGAATAAGTTTTTGTCGTAGCGTTGGAGCGAGAGTGTTGGCAAAAAAAAGTGCATGGAAGGAAGGGTGAGGGAGGAGGGAGGGTGATTGTGAAGATGATAAGGCTGAGGGGGGGTGTGAAAACGCTACCAGTGCATTTTATAGGAGTGGACAGTTCATCACAGTTGTCTTCCTAGTCTCAAAGCTCCACCTCCAGCATCATTTTTTTTTTTATCAAACTGCTGCTGCAAAGATGTGTCAACCTTATCTTCTGGGCAGTGCTGAAGAGCAACCAAGTGCATTTGCTTAGTTTCACTTGAATATTAAGTTTTGAGGTAGTTCATTAGCTTCATGCTGCCATAATTGATCTTTATGTAGGCTATAATTTTTTTTTTTTAATAAAATAAATAAATAAATAAAAATAATTACTATAACCTGCAAAGGGTGACCAAGAGATTGTGTGAAAATTACCCACAACAGTTCAAAACCAAAACAAAAGTATTCACCACTTTGAAAAAATGAAAGTAGTGTTTCTATACAAAGACTGAAGCACAAATTCCTTGGACAGGCTGCACCACATAGGAAGCCACATTAATTTTTTGTTGTTGTTGTTGTTGTTGTTTCAAATAAGTTCAAGAAGATGTACCTGTTTGTAAACATTATTGTGCTGTAAAGTTGGACTTTTTAACATCAGAGTCAATGGGGACTGATGCACTTTTGGCACCTGCCTCCAGTGGCCAATAACGGAACTGCAATTTTTGGCACTTCCTGGCTGGCTTCATTTTTCAGTCCTGTAGGTTGCTGCTTTGATAGTAGTTTGTTCCACACAGAGTGTGACCACAAAAACACGCATGCCCATAAAGTGCAAACAATACTTGTTACCATATACAGAAAATGCGTCTATTTTAAATCCCAAAGAGATTCCATCCAAGCTGTAGTACCCAGAGTGTGCCTGTGCAGGCAGGGAGAGGACATACAAACTCCACACAGAGAGGCTTCAGATAGATTGAGGATTTGAACCCAGGACCTTCTTACTGTTATGTAGTGGTGCTAACCACTGTGATAGACTTGACTACACTATTTAAACAGGGAAAGAAAACATGACTTTGTTTTTTCCTTTTATTCAAACTGAATGAGATAAAGGAAGCATTTTCATCAGTTTCAGCTCTTCTGTTTTAGCCATCATAGCAGAATAAACCCGTCTCACCTTTACAGCTACAGCAAGAAAGGCAAAAGCCCCCTTATAGGTGATTAACACAACTGGCCCAGAAAGGACTGACATAAAGCACGGTCCTCTGAACAGACATATAACAAACAATAACCAGATGTATTTAATGAATGCCTTCCCCCTGTGCAGCTGTGAGTTATAAGATAGCTCCCTGAACTGGCACTCTGTCACTGAAACCCCGTAATATAAATGAATTTAAATGATTGTCGCTGGAGCCTTGGCTCTTACACATTGCTGGCTCGGTATAAACACTCCAATAATGTCATATAAAAACACATAATAACATAATAAGAGAAATTTTGCTGTGGAATGGATACTTTTATTGTTAATATTTTAAGCACCATTTGCTGATAAAACTGTGTGTGTGTGTGTGTGTGTGTGTGTGTGTGTGTGTGTGTGTGTGTGTGTGTGTGTGTGTGTGTGTGTGCGCAGGATATCTAGTTGTGGAAAAAGTACACAACTGTAACGGTATTTCACTTAAACTGAGGATGTGATTCATTCTTCCAGCACGGATCTTGTATGGAATTAATTTCATAAAAAGTCGTCTCAAGATCCAACAGTGTAGCTGTTAGCTGTAATTCATGAATACCAAACATTGCTTCAGGTGAGAGTTTTAAGCCAAAGCCTAATGAGTCCAGCTGGTCCATCTGTGGGTTACCCACTATCTCCCAGGCTTAATGAACTGCCCGTGAGCCCTCTGCAGCCCAGCACATCTCATTAGCGCCACGACATCCAAGTATAGTGTGTGGGAGTTCACCCACTTACTCAACTACCATTTCTTATCATATCACATCAGTTCTTTTGTCTTCTCCTTTAATCATCTCTCTTGTATCATCATCCGTTTGGTTTCACCTCCCTCTGACCTTTCTTCCATCTTCCTCCGGGCGTATATCTGAATCAGAGAAACTCCAGGACGCCTACAAATTATAATTATTTTACCACAGTGGCGTTTTTCCCCTGCTGTATCTTTCTGTGCCCTTTTCTTTACATATCCCCCAAGTAATTATCCTCCCTTCCCCTTTTCTCTGTCCTTTTCTCTATCTGTACCATCATTTGGTTCACCTTTTCTTCCCCTCTCAAACACACTGGATGCTCTTCCTCTTGAAACAAATTCCTGACTCAGTGCTTTCCGCTGCACAATTTTCGCTCCCCTAACATTTTGCACCTTCATTGCAACCCTTCATCTTCTCCTCTGCTCTTCAAATGTGCCTCTATCTGCCTCGGATGTTTTTGGGCCGACCTACCGCACTTAACCTCTCCCTCACTCGGTCACCTCCGGTGCCCATCACCTGCTTCCCATCCATTTGTCCTGCAGCACCTCACTTCCCACTCCCCACCCGGGCAGTGCTGTCCCTCAGCAAAGACGTGACCACACATTCATGTAACCCTTTAGAAGAACCTTACCCACAATGCACAGGGTGGAGCGATTTGCATGACAGGCAGTGGTGCATTTCGCAGAGGGAGGGATCGGCCGGTGAATGTACAGAGATAGAGAAACCCATAAAGGGAGCGAGAAGAACTGTAATGTTGGTTTGAATTATTCATAGCTAGTCTATAGGACGAATAAATGCATCAGGAAAGGGGAAGACACAAGGAAGAGCACCTGTTATCTATCCAGAGTGTGTATCTCTGTAAGCCCAAAGTCATGTATGCTCAAGTCCTCTGCTACTGCACTATGAGATAAGAGTATATAGGCTGGCTATGTGTCCACTTAAAGCTCTGAATTTAATTAAAGTGTATTACTAAAGCTAGAAAAAAAGGGTGCACGTAACAATCATTGAAGCCCCACACTGACTCCACTACAGTTATTACATTTATATCAGGCCAGACACCAGAATGGAGTGAAGGGATCAGTCTCACATGAAGTCAATGACAGTCATTTCATCTTCCCCATCAGGTCTTGTTTTTGTAATGAGCGAGTTTGTGCCTGAGGTTGCCAATAATCCTTTCCATTTTTCAGCATTCATAGCCTACTCAGCAAACCCATGTTTACACCGATGCATTTGTTTCTAGGACTGTTTAATCGTGAAAGCTAAATCCTGATAAAGACCAAAATGACACAAATTTCTTGGATTCAATTTGAAATTGAAAATTGTGAGCTAAAACATGTTCGAAAGTCTGAGAAAAGAGCCTGGAAGGAAGGAGAGAACAATTTCTTTGTGTAATTTAATATTTAAAAAAAAAACAAAAAACTCTGCATGTCATCACACTGATTGCGTTGTTTCTGTGTTTTTTCCCACAGAAGTCGTTCTCTCTGGTGTTGGAGGCTCTGGATTATGACAATGACACATCGAGTTCAGTCGAAGGTGTGTTTGCACATACCTGCGTTCCTTTTTATTCATGTGTAGTCAGGAATGTAAATAAAAGGGGGGCTGAATTAAATAACAATAAACAGAAGGAAAGTTGTGAGGGTGTTATTATTCCCCTCATCCTCACACATGTCATATTTTGAGGTTTGAAGCTAGAGAGCCTTTGTAAGATATACCGTCATCGCTTAAAACACCATTAAAGTGTTGAAGGTAAGTGACACGTTTAAAAAATGGAGCCGTCTTTACTGCATTTCCAGCTTTATCTTATCAAGAAAAGAGTTACTTGTGAGTTTAAATATTAACAATCAACAGTTTTATAGAGGAAAACAACACGGGTGCTTGTTTATGAGCGTTTGCTGTCTGACATGATGAAACAATGTGAAAATATCCTTTGTGTCTTAATGTCTGTGATCTAACGAGTTTAGTGGGCCTTTTATCCAGACCCTTTAATTTCCTGCTCATCTCAGTGCTGTTCCTCCTCATAATCGGGAAAAGCTCCGTGACAGGGAATGTGAGCGGCATGCTATAAAAAGCAACACACATACACACACAAGCACAGCCAGACAGATGTTTCTGTGCCTTCCTCATTCCTGTCATGCCACAATCCTTCCTTTGAGGGACCACTGCACTGCGGTCTCTCAACCTCGGTGCTACCCAGAAGATGGCTGATAGGATGAGAAACTTTTCACCTCACATTTCTCTTTCGCCTTCCGTCTCTCCTTCGCTCTGCCCTCCAGCGACGCTCTTACATCTTGTTTGCATTATCTTCCGTTTCCACCTGAGCTCCTGACAGCCCTTACATTGGGCCTAAAGCTGTTCACTAGGCTGACAGCTTAGCTCAGCCCAAACAGAGGCATTCGGTAGCAGTCTGAATGGACTTAGCGGGCCGTGCTGCAAATCAGAAAGGATTACCGAGCATAACTGTACCTTCTGAAACGGTTCTTGGAAATACCAAGAAAATGTGACGTGCTATGAGCACAGACGGTGTGACCTTCACAGAGTTTTCTTCAAATAAAATGTAGCTTAAGTGTTAATGTGCAGGGGCGTACCTTGATCTGTTAAAGGATAATTCCCGTTGGTTACAACTTTGGTCTTTGGCCTTTATGTTTTTGTTGAGTATACTGACAAGTAACCGTTTAGATAAGGGAACACGATGGTATCACAGCAATGAAATGAGATCAGTCAGACTATAAAACTTCATACATGCCTGCAGTAGTTCACAATAAGTAGGTAATATGCAGCAGGTTTTGGCACCTTTATTTGGTTTTATTTAGTTTCTTTCAGTCGTTTTACATATTCTCTATCCCGTTTTATGTTTATTTTGAAGGACACAGTCTTTTATTTAACTTTATTGCACGACACAGACATATAGACCTGATGGAAACACCTGTCACTACAACAGTGAAAATCGAATAAACAGCAAACTGCAGCCTCCTGAGCAATCATCAAGATGAGTAAACACGCTCTGTAATAACCAATAATTTAATGGAGGCTGGAAATTTTGCAACACCAGGCTGCATCAGCTTTAACTCATAAGTCAGTGACTGAATGTTTACACAAAGTACGATTTCACAACAACATACAGGATAATATACTCAGAAAATAAACATGTCATTAAGTACATAAAGAAAAAATGAAAAGGCCTGCGTTGATCTTTTGGGCCTTGTAGTTCTTGTAACATCTCATTTCTGCAGTGCTGCCATTTCCCCAGATTTCAAAGGGTTTTCTAGTCAACAAAAAATGTATTATTTAATTCTTGAACTGAATTTTCCTGCTCAGAAGTTTTGCAAAAGTGCCTTTGTTACTGCGGTACTGCCACCAGGGCAATAGCACAGAGAAAACAGTTTCTCACATGCTGTTGGATGTTTTGTGTAGGCACCAAACATCAACCTCCGGGGCTTTAAATAAAGCTACAGCCTTCATAACACAGTTACAGTGCAGTTTGTTTATAACTCACTAATTAAGGCTTAAAGTTAGGAGCAGGTCTGCTTTAACTGACAGATGGACGCTGACACAGGCTGCTGCTTTTCCCAATTTGCGCTAATTAGTCACTGAACTAGATTTCTTAATCGTGTTTGTGCCTTTAATGAAATAATCTGAGGAAATAACTTGTATAAATCTGCGCTTCACTTTTGGAGAGTCAAATTCCATCCATCCATACATTCGTGCATTTTCTGCCACTGTCTGCCACAAAAAAACCAACATGGCTGCTGTCAAAATCCTAAATTTGAAGCTTTAAAACAGGGCTTCTGTACCAAATGCTGATAGTAACTACGTTCATCTCTTCCCCCTCACAGAACAAAAACCCCACAGGGACATTTGTAACTTTCTCAGCGTAATGTTTCAGTAAATATGAATCATCTTAAAATGTTTTTTTCCCATGTTCTCCTTCTGCTCCCGTATTCATTGGGTGATTTTGACAGCATACTTGCTGCTGTGCTCCCCCGTGTTTCAGCTGTACTGATGTTACACCCACAGCCACAAAACTGCGAAAGCGGAATTCAATATTAGAAGCATTATAATCTCGACCAGCTTGTCACCAAAGTTCAAGACACATGTTTAGACTTAGTCCCCCATCCATGTGAGAATAGTTTCACTGGGAGTTTATACTAGAATGAAAACTGAAAATAAACATAGAAATGTCATGAGAAACCATGCACATCAAATTAAAAAAAACCTTCAGCTGATCTATTGGCTTCCACAAGGCTATTGATTCAAAATGAAGTCACAGGGAGGTGTTTTCTCTCCTGCAGTGTTTTCTCACCATTGTCAAGGGCAAGCACTTCACAGCTAATACAAGACAGTAGGGGGACAATCTCCAGAGACAAGAAAACGAGCTTTTTTTTTTTTTAACTCCCTGCAGATACAATCTCTGTTTCTCTGCTGCTTATGTTTCTATAAAGTGTGATTTCAGGAAGAGCTCAGGGCTTCTTGTTTCAGCTGTTCTGCCATCAATCTTTCTGTCTCTTGCTCTCTCTCTTTTTTTAGGATGCCCATTAGCACCAGCCAGAGAGGCTATTCTTCCTGGGGTCCTCCACACCCCTCACATATTATTGTACCATCTTCTCTAATCACGTTACTGCGAAAATTGGGCTCTGTTACACACCTTCCCTGCTGTGCTGAATGATAATTCGCTTACTTCTACTTCTTTTCTGGAAGAGAAATGGTGATGATGAAATTAACCCCCGGCCATGCCAGAGTCATAAAATAATGAAAAACCCACAATGCACTGCAGTAGCATAATGAGTGTTTGTGAAACGGGGCCCTCGAGTTTGACTACAGGCGACGGCAGAGGAATCGAGCAGCGGCCGAGCTAACAGTCCGCTCAACGTCCGCTCTGTTCCCATCCCATTTTTTATGCTAAAACACACACACACACACACACACACACACACACACAACACACACACACACACACAACACACACACACACACACACACACACACACACACCAACCACTGTGTATCCCTGTTTTCATTCCTTTGGGTCAAACCGCAGTGATCTCATCTCTCCATCAGGCAGTTTGTTATGTGTGTGTCCTAATAGCTGCTTCCCTTCCTCTTTGACTCTGTTTGCCTCTGGCAGAATCTCTCTCTCACACACACACATGCACACACTCGCACATTCTGTACACACAGTCTCTCTTCACTGCTGACATACTTCCAATGAGGCTTCCTGTTCTGTCCTCCTATCATGCAATCTTTGCCTGTATCCTCACTAGCATCTCATAGATACACACATGGCATATACACTGAAACAACACACAGACACACTCACACTTATTCTGAGTACTGTGTGTCTGTTAACACCCTGTCAGAGAGCAATGAAAGTGACTTGGGGATACCAGTGCCTCTGGGAAATCCCCTCCGGGGGTCAGGAGCAGCAGCCACTGCCCCGCTGTTGCCCTGGGGCTTGTCTGGTCCTCTCTCTGCATCTCCCCCTCCTCTCCAATAGCTAATCAAATGTTAAAGAGCTGCCTCATAGGGATGATCTCTTGGATATTTGTGGTGTCTCACAGCTCTGCAGAGCATTTTAGAGCCTCATTGTTTTTATCAATCCCACAAATTCCAACATCCAGTGGTTTTCTTTTGTTGTTTTTTTTTTTGTTTTTTTGGTGAAATAGCTCTCATAAATCACCTGTACACAACCTGCTCGGCACAAAATGGCAAGCACTAAAGTTAGTGATGCACTGGTGGGTAACTTGTCACATTAAACAGCTAAAAAAACAGATATTTTTCTTAGTGGGTGATGGAAAAAGAGCCAGACTCCGTATGATGGTAATGTTGCTCCATAACTGCTCGATGTGTTAACAGGCGACTATTTGATTGAACTCGTGCCATATCAGCTTTGATGCTAATAATGTTAGGGAGTGTTTAGATTTATCTGCTGAATGTGGACACAGTTCCTCCTTCCCCAGATGTTTGGCACCCTTTGATTTCCCAGTGTCAGAACAGCAAACAAAAGAAAGTATTTCTTCCTTCCTTCCTCCCTCAGGTCAGTTGATCGAGCGAATCCTGCTCTCCTCCATGCTGAACCCCGGTGAACAGTGGCAGACTTACCGTTACCACGGACGCTCTTTCAGCCTGGAGTACCGACTTCGTTTCCGCTGTCACTCCAACTACTACGGACCCTTCTGCAACAAGTTCTGCCGAGCCCGCGATGACTTCGTCGGCCACTTCAGCTGCGACCAAAGCGGCTCCAAGGTCTGCATGGAGGGCTGGACGGGGCCAGAGTGCAAAATAGGTAAGAAAAGGAACACAAAGGAGTCCACTGGTGTTTCCTCAAAGTTGTGCATTTGTTTGTGTGTGTATGTGTTTTTAAAAATCCCGTATTTGTCTCTATCTCATTCAAATATTAACACATAATCATTTTCTTCCTTCAATCCTCAACAAGACAATGTTTTTGCCAAAAATGCTCCCTTAAATACTAAGTAGGTATTACTGTTACCATCAACAATGGTAACAATTAAGTTATCCAGTAACAGGGGTACAGCATTAGAAAAATAAACCCAGGCTTAATGTTTGCTGCGATGGATTACACTACTAAAGCCTGTACTGGTGGGGAAAAAAAACCTTCAAATTCCTCAACACACAAACATATTTTGTAAACTGCCCAGATCAAAGAAGTCAACTAAAAATATTGGAGTCTGTCTCACACACACCCTGTGCAGGTTTGCCAGTTAATCACAGGGTCACAAAGACCCTTACTTCCACTTCAGAATCACTAATAATCTAACACACGTATCTTTGGAGTCTATCAGGACTTATAAAAAGAAAAAAAATCCCACACAGATACAGGTTAGATCATGCAATCTTGACACAGAAAGGTCCCACCCAGCCAGGAGATACAAAGACAGAGCCTTCTTGGTGTGAGGCAGAGAACACCCTCCATCACAATGTCACTCCACAAATGGTGAACTGACCTAACCTGAAGTTAATCAAATTTTTCTTGAGGTCGTCTTTGTTTTCCTGTCTAACTTTAGTCTTTGAAACTATTTAAAACTATTATTGTGATAAAGGTTTTGTGGATATGTCATCTAAATATTCACACACAGCTTTAATAGCAACAGGCCTCATTAATAAGGAATAACCGCACACGTGCTTGTCTTAGTGTTAAAAAGACTTCAGGCCATTACACGGTTGCTCTCTGAAACAGTCCATCAGCAAAGACACGCTTGGCTACCTTCTGTGGTGAGGGTGTGGAGGATTATTTTGTGTGACTCATCAACTGAGCGCCCTCACTCTGTGACCTCGGAGCGCTGCCATCATGTTGCAGCGGTTGAACTGAGTGAATGGAGGAAGCCAGAGTGGAAACCATGGGAACCCTGAAGGACACAGAGCTAGTTTAAGGACATCCTGCAACCCTGCCCATCTCACCCCTTTCTCACTTCATCTGACTTCCTCCTCGACACGACACTGATTGGACTGCAGGAAGGCAGGAAGCTCGCTCTGTTACCCCCTGCAGGTTACTGTTGATGATGAAGTTCAGGGCGTTTTCAGGGTTAATTAAAGGCATTTTTGACCCTGATATGATGTGGCAGATACTCTGACGCCATACACGCGTCTACTCCATAAAAAAACATTGTGTCATGGTATGATTCCAACCGTGTTTTGTTTTTTTGGCTTTGCAGCGGTGTGCAGGCAGGGCTGTCATCAAACCCACGGCTCTTGCGATGTACCTGGAGAATGCAAGTAAGTGTATACTTGTACCGATATAGAAAATTGGAAATATGAAATATTATTTTGACTGTTACAATATAAAAATTGAGTAATGAAAACTTTAGTCAATACCAGAAGATGACAAAAAATGTGATTTTATATGAGCAGGTTAACTTTTTAAACCAAACCCTTCAGTCATTCATTCATAAATGGCCAGCCAAATTAATGGGAGTTTTTCTTTTAATATACACTAACCTTATGTTCAAAGCATTCTGGTTGGAACAAACAGCCAATCAGGAGAAAGGTGACTTAAATATGATGAATTGAGGGACTCTACCAAGTTCAATCCAAAAATAATGCACAAAGCTGTAAATACACAAACTTGGATCCCCTGTAAGTCCAGCAGTAGTGTTGCGGGTGTAGATTTAGTGAAGCTATTACATTAGAGGGATCTATTCTCTCTACAGATAAATTAACTTCAGTTGTAAAGTGGGGCTGAATGTACACTATATCTACAAAACCTAAGGGGCCACCTACATTGCATTACACCTGCAGGAGCTGCTTGGCTATGCCATGAAGATCCTGGCGCTCAATTTTTACACCCAGAGAAAGTCTGGAGCTCTGTTGTTGAGCCAGCTGTAGACTGACTCTACAGCTGGTGACCCCGCTCTGTAACTTTATGTGACTTTCTACTTTGTGACTGAGTCACTGTGCTCCTTAAAAGCTTCCACTTTGCAATAATACCACTTACAGTTGATCGTGGAACAACTAGGAGGGAAGAAATTTCACAACCTGACTTGTTGCAACGACTGCATCCTATTACAGTAACACACTGGAATTCAGTGAGCTCAAAGTTTAAGAGGAGTGGCTCAACACTTTAGTCCATATTGATCTGCACACCAATGAGCTCCCACGTAAGGATTTAATTTGTGCTGTGCAGCATTTTCAAGTAACAGCTTCTCCCACAGAAGTCTAATGAAGCAAATAAAATCATCATCGAAACATCCCTCCAGGATTTCTATAACTATCATAGCAACAGCAGCTTCATAATACAGATAATGAGATTCGTGGTTGTTCCAATCTGCCTCTCTGCTCATGTCTTCTTCTTCTTTTTCTTTTAGGTGTCAATATGGCTGGAAGGGTCAGCTGTGCGACCAGTGTATTACGTTCCCAGGCTGTGTGTATGGGAGCTGCACTGAACCTTGGCAGTGTGTGTGCGACGTCAACTGGGGAGGACTGCTGTGTGACAAAGGTCCGACATGTGACCCACTCCTTTTCTGTAGTAGAGAAGAAGAAAGTGTTTATGTGCGAGTGAGGGGGTTTCCACCCTTTTTTTCCAGTATCTCAGATATGCAACTGGAGTCGTTGGTGTTTAGGAAACTGCGCTGGCTTGTAGACACACAGAGTGATCAATCACTAGGTAAATTTAACCACACAGCGTAGCAGGCACTATGAAATTAAAACCAAGTAAAAGTTTAGACAGAAACTCTTGGAAAAAGCGAGCCGACTAACTCTCAGCTGTCCAGATTTACTTCTACTCAGTGACCTTTTTGCACAGTTATACAGAATTCATGATTATTAATCTTATTTCTCTTATTTCTTTATGTCATGCTAAAGATACTTACTGTGTCACCTTTTTAAATTTTTGATTGTTTTCTATATATGAACTCGTAGGTTTACAAGAGTTTGGATTCAGCAACACACTGATGGATCCTTTGTTGTCCACAAGAGCTTCCAAAGACTCATTTAACATAAAAACACAGTAGAAGACTACATCATACGTAAAGATGAAAGTGCTCTGCCGTGTATTGTATGTTGACCAATAACTCATCCTGTCTGTGTGGCTCTGAGACAAAGAGAGAGGCATTGTGTGTGCAGTCTTAGCGAGGCGTGGTTCTTCACACTTCTCTCCATGCATGATCTTCTGTATAAGATAAGATAAAAGTCCCCGAGGATTTCGAGCGTCAGTATTTTCCCACCAAACTGTAGCAAAGTTCGCCCAGCATTATCCCAGCATATGACTCCTACCTCTGTCCCAGTGTGGGAGCCTAACCAGTGCCCACGGGACAGCGTATTGTGCAGGAGAAAGGTGATAGCCTTGGGTAAGGTGAACGTGAGCGGGGCTGGGCTGGCTGCTTTTAACTAGGTGGGGTCTTAAGCTGTTTCTGCGCATTCAGAAAGGCTCTGTAAAGAGCTGCAGTGAGACAAAGAGGCCATGGGCACCGAGGAAATGATTAAAGACAATGGAGGAACAAGCCCTGCAGCTACTGGCCTGCACAGTCAGCCCACAGAACAGACCTGGATACACCAGGTCTGTGTGTGTGTGTGTGTGTGTGTGTGTGTGTGTGTGTGTGTGTGTGTGTGTGTGTGTGTGTGTGTGTTCCCTGGATGTTTACCTGAAATAAAGTCAGACTAAGGCATCCTCATTCATTTTTCTATTCGCCCCTATGTCACTTTGTTTTTGCTCTGAGCTAAAATCTAAAAACTAAACGCATCATTTTGTGTGTTCAGATCTAAACTACTGTGGCACCCATCAGCCCTGTAAAAACGGCGGGACCTGTACGAACACAGAGCCCAACGAGTATCAGTGTGAGTGCCAGGAAGGCTTCAGAGGACGCAACTGTGACATCGGTGAGTCAACGTCAACAAACAGCAAAAGTGCTCTCAGTAATGTTTGTTTACACAAATGTAAGAGATGCACAGAGATGGCCAAGACTACTGAGTGGCACAAGGAGGAAATATCATAAATTGTTGGAGTTATTTAGAAAATTCCTACTTATAAGTAGTCTTTACATGCACATATGTTAACCCCAGTGTAACGTGTGACTCTACAAATTCATTCTTACTTCAACGTTTGTTTTCTAGTTTATTTATATTATATTTGTATAAGCCATTCACATTTTTCCACAATATTGCTTGTCAAAGTTAATAACCGTTATGAGAGAAACAAGCTTTTCATTTACACTTTCCTCCCCTCCTTCCTCCCTTTAGTGGAACACGCGTGCTTGTCTTCCCCGTGTATGAACGGCGCGACCTGTGTGGAAGACCAAACAGGGTTCAGCTGCATCTGTAGCGAAGGCTGGACTGGACACACCTGCACAGATGGTGATTGTCGATGCTGCTCACATTCGTGTCTTACTGAGCTGAGGGGCCGGGGCGCTGTGAGATTGTCTGTGATTGGTTATTATTGGATCAAAGCCAGCGAGTGACTCTAATCAATGCAACAGAGGAAGTTAAATTAGCCTAAACATCTTTCCCTGTGTGTGTGTGTGTGTGTGTGTGTGTGTGTGTGTGTGTGTGTGTGTGTGTGTGTGTGTGTGGCGTTAGGTTGTGTGGAGGGGGGGAGAGGGAGGGGGTGCAGGAATGCATTTGTATTTGTATCACTAGAACAATCAAGACCCTCTGTTGGAGCACTTATAATCAGCAATTGCATTAATATAAGCAGAGGTGGCACTGTGAATTACTACATGTTTTTTTGTTTCTTTTTTTAATGGCAGTAATTAGAAGGTATTTATTATCAGGTCTTTTACTCATGTGAGCTTTTTCCCATGTAATGTGATTACTTTAATCGCATAATTGGGAATTTGTGGAGTGACATCCGGTTCTCTTGCGATGTGCGTGAAAGTGAAAAAATAAGAAGTAGCAAAGTGTCTGCCAAGTGAATGTAAGCTGAGACTGCTGCTAAACACAAAAACAATACACAGTTGTGTTCTGGATTGGTGTAGCATTGTTGTTCTTGGCCTTATGTGGATGTCAGTTTACTGTACAGTAGTCTGATGTTTTTCCTAAAAATATGCAAAGCCAGACTGTCTTTACTTTAATCGCACAAAGACAAGAGCAGCCTTTAAGGGCGCTGTGACATGCAGTCTCCTCTAACACATGCTGAAGCGTTTATTCAGACTCAGATTCTGCTGGATAAACACGACATCGGGCTTTCTCTGCTTCTCCAGGTGTCAAACACGAAGAATCAGCCTGGGAAAGACTCCAATCTGATCCACTGGATGGCTTTGGAAAATATAACGAATGGCATAAATTCTGAATTTTGTAATGTATTTTTAGATGTTTTACAGCTTTTTTCTATCGGTGAATTGCACCTCTTTTCCTTGTATCAAGATGGGACAGAAATGAAATGTTAAGTTAAACACCTTTACAGTGAGAGAAAGGGGACTTTTACTAGTCCAGCCCATTTCAGATCAATGTGGCCTCACAATGTAAAATGAGTTTGACAACCTTGAGTTTAGAGGCACAGGTTTGGAGAAATATGAAGGATATAGTCAATTCAACTCAAAATTAGCACAGTAGCACATTTTAAACAACCACAGGTGGCCAAAATCCTGTGAAAGATATACAAAACATACACTATGTAGAATAGTTGTTAATTAAACAATTACAAATACACTCAAAATCAAAATATTTTTACCTGTCTGTGGCTTGTTACAGCTGTGTGTTAGAGCTCAGTTTCATTTAAACGTAATCATTGTGACATGCAAATCAGGACAAGATGTAATTCTGCAATAGGGGTGCTGGTTTAGGTCACTCAGCTTACCCATATGTTGTAAAGCTAACACAGAGGCTCGGGTTTGCAGCTGGTCTCATTCCCAGCTTTCCCGTTATCTCGCCACTATTTTATTAACTCCATACAAAGGCTAAAAAGCACAAAAATATGAGAGCAAAAGCCATTCTGACATAAATGACAAAAGACAAATCCATTTTCTAATCTGTGCTCTGTTAGCTGTAATTACAGCGGTGTGAAATGGACTTGGCAGCAAAAAAGGAGTAAGAATATAAAAAAAGATATTCATGTTCTGCATCAACCGAATGCACATAACTTCACTGCAGGGCTCCTTTCAGTGAGGCTAGGAAGGATACATCTCAGGAGGGTGCCTGTTATCTATTTCGTGCTTACAGCATGTTGTCTGGAAAATAATTAGCCCAGTGAAAACCCAAACTCTGGTCTCCGGTTGTGTGGTTAGCGCAAGTTACCATGGTGAAAATAGAGGTGCCCCCCCCCCATCTGATCTCCCATAAACACAGTTTTTCTTTTTCTGTTTGTGAGTATGAAAGATGTCAAATCATTAAACGTAGCGGTTCATCCTTATATTCAGACACTGTCCCCCTTAAAAGAAAGACAGGCGGAGATATCTCCACTAACAATCACAAGTATGCATCAAGCTCAGAAATGCTGGATCGTATAGTTCCCATGATCCCAATCCTGTAATCTGGGCTTTCTCTGATGTTATCAGGGGATTTTTTTGTTTTGTTTTGTTTTGTTTTTTTGGGTTATTTTTTTGGGGTTTATTTTTTCACTCATTATAGAAAGTTCCTTCACAGGCACAGAGGACCTGATGCCTCTTTGAATTGCTTAACATCATGGTTTGGTGTAATACAAGTAAACCACACTTAAATATATGTCTGTTTGTAGGTTAAATGCTTTTAAAGACTGCGTTAGTTCCCGCTCACTCAGCCGCATACATTTTTTGATCTGCACACGGCTAAAGGTCAAGCTGAGCAGAGCTGTCAGAACAGTCTGGGTTTCTCGGTCATGTGTCGCTGGCGGCGTGCTACATGTGAGTGTGCTGTGTGTGTTTGTGTGTGTGTGTGTGTGTGTGTGTGTGTGTGTGGTGGTGTGGGGTGGGTGGGTGGGTGTGCGTGACGGCAGGTGAGATTGGATCACACGGGTTATGGTCTTTCAGAGCTGTCTGTAAACAAGAACAGTTCCACATCCTCAGCTTTCACCTCGTGCAGGATAAACAGCGCTGTGGCATGTAAACAATTCATCAGAAAGCATTTTTATCAAAGAGTGAGAGCAGAGGGATGAACGGGGGAATAAAAGTTTTGTTTATTTTTGCTCTTGTTGTTTGTTGCTCGCTTGATTAACAGTCAGAGAGGCGGCCTATCTCTGCAGGCTATGTGTTGTGCGGGGGGGGGGACTCTCCAGGGAACATACAGCAAGAAGATTGTTAGGCTTGCAAGGAATGACAACCAAAACCACAACATAGCTTTGTTTTCAGACTAGATTTATATATATAACCAATATTAATTAAAGGCTTCTTTGTTTGTTATGAATTCTCCGTCTCATTTTTGGAGATGTGCCGCTAACTTGGCAGGATTATTGTTGTTCGGGGTCAGGAAAATGGAAAATGGTTCTTCTGTAGGGTTAGGTAAATGAAAAAAGGTTATGAGAGAGACAGAGATGTACACCACAGAGATATGCATGGGAAAAGTTATGATGCCCTCTTTAAGTTATGCATGGTTAACCCCTAAGTGGGGAGCTTCTCTTTGTCTGAATGTGATGTTTTTCCTGTTTTAAATTCCTTGTCAGATGGGTAGAACCACACATGGCAGCCTCATTTTTATTTCTGTCCAACCCCCGGCTTTGCCATCCTTTCCCTTATTCAAATGCACTCCTTCCTTCCTCCTCTTTGGGAAAGATTTGAGATGATTGTATTCATCACTGTTTGCACAGAAACCAGAGCAGCAGAAAGAACAAAAACACGAAAGCATCCAAGCTTCCTCACACCAATACTACCCTTCAGATCACACATGCACAAGCTGCCTCCTTAATGTTCTCACTCACGCTCCTGTCACACAGGCCAGTATGTTCATATATATTATTCTCTGTTTGTCTTCTCAGCTGTGAAGCAGTGTGATCGCAGCCCCTGTGGCCATGGAGCAACGTGTGAAGAAGCTCCTGGAGGTTATCGCTGCCTCTGTCCACCTGGATGGACCGGCAGGACGTGCCAGCTGGGTCAGTGGGTCATCGTATGCCTGCTCTTCTTTATCTTACTATAATACAACAAATTACTCTCTGTCTGCAAACTCCTCCCACACAATCAGGAGCTAAGCAATCAAACTTGGCACACAGGTATATCGTAGGCTCTTGAAGGTTCTTATCTATCCCGCCTACATGTTGCCTAGAAACCACATACCAATGGGCTAAAATTCCCTTTTCTTTAGCATTTATGCACCTCCATGTGTTTTTAGCTGCTGCCTTATCTGCCAAGGAGTCCTCAGAGCAGATTGATCTGCTTCTTTGATTTGACAAAGATTTTATTCATGACAGAACCCTCCCTGCTTATCTGGGCCCACTTTGCATGTAAGGTGAATGTGTTGACCGCGACACCACAGCATCTCTGCACCTACAACACCTTAAAAAAAGCCACTGTACCAATTTCGTTTCATAATAATGTCTAATTTCTATTTATAAAACTTGAATATTATGATATATTATGACTCCATCATGTTGCCTAGCAACCTCCTGGTTGGTATGTACTAGTGTTGTAAAGTTTGCATAAATATAGTCACTTTCAGCACAGGGCCAGTATACCATAGTAGTGGATAAATAAAAGAGTAATAGAACAAATAGTAAATCATGTTAGTGTTTATTGACTTTAGTTGGATTATATCACATTTTTGTTGAATTTCTTTTACTCAAACTGATCACAGTTCATGAAAATAATGACCAGGTTAATGGTACAAGGTCCAGTTAGTATCTGCTCATGGGCACCTGCTGTTGTTTCATATATGCGGAGACTCAGGTTTCCATTTTTCTGAGTACTTTAAGTGTTTTTTGTCTGTGAACTGAAGTGTTGTTGACTTCACAAAAGAGAAAATAGTCTTGACTGTTCTGGAGCTTTCAGCTGGTTATTTTTTGGGATCATCTGAGCAAAATGATGGACTAACATCCACATGTAGATGTGAACATCCACATGGCTGCATATTTGTTTTTAAACCTCCGACTTGTCCACAACAATTTATATTATAATGCACCAACTACACATGACAAAAGAAGGGTAACAGGAATGACTACTCGGCCGTCAGTTCTCAGTAGAATATAATCTAGGCTTTAGCAAAGCTTTCTTGTCATTTCTTTGAATAGTCTTCAGGACTAGCTTTCCAGGCTTCTTGAAGGACAAAGCTCTTCTTTGGATGTTGGCTGCCTTTTGTTCTGTTTCCTGTCAAGATGATCCCAAACTGCTCAAGTACTGTTGAAGGTCTGGGCTCAGGGGACTGATAGTGTACGACTGTGTTTTTTCAATCTTTTACTGCATGTGCAGTGTGTTTGGGATCATTGTCATGCCGAAAAATGAAGCTCCTGCCAATCAGATGCTTTTCGGATGGTATACCATGGTGGATCAAAATCTGACAAGATTGCCAACACTACTGGCTGAAATGCAGTCCCAAACTATGGGATGGCTGAAGACACTCACTGTTGTGCCTCTATCCTGACCTCCTCCGTACATGCCACTGATTTTTCCGTCCATTTCTTGGGTAATTTGGCATACCTCAGCCTTTTGTCCCTGTTTTTTCAAGTACAAGTGAAAAAAGTGTTGAAATAGTTGGAAGATCTTTAAGAACTATTGGTCTGGCACCTTGGCTCAAAAAATATAAAGAAATGAGGGGTGGATTGAGACTTCTGCACAGTACTGTATGTGCATTTGACATCTTGACATCGTTGTCTTAAAAAACATTAAAATCTAATATTTTAAAAGGTTCAGGACTGCAATGCAAGTGTAAAAGTGTATTTTTATTCTTTAGGGTGCAGAGATGATGTCTGCTAATGCTAAATCTGTACTTCTCCAGACAAGCTGCCATCACTGGGAATTAACCTGCACGGATATGTTTCGTTTGGGATCAGGATCTACAAGCTATTTGGGAAAAGTGTCACTAACAAGACAACTGATCAGAGATCCTTATTTTCAAAGGAAACTATTCATAGGAGTTTAAACAAAAATCCTCTGAGAACAAATTCAATCTGAGCTTGTTTTAAAAAGCTGGGAACGCTTGTGTTCCACTTGAAGCTAAATATGAATTTAAAGCGCAAATTAAAGAGGCAGAAAAGCCAGCAGCATGTTAATTTTCCCATCAACCCATGCTGCCTGAGAATCAGTAGTCTCTTAATGCACCGTCACGTCTCTTTGGGCTGCATTTGCTCATATTGACAAGCCTGCACCCAGAGGGTTGTTGTGTTAGATACTACAGCAGAGGGAGTATTGTATGGGCTCAGGTCAAACACACACGCACACACACACACAGTATATATACACATGCTGGGCTTTGGGGTGATGAAGTAAAAACTGAGACATATTTCAGGATGACAGCCTCTCCTACTCCTCGGTGTTACAGCGATATGTCACTCTGACACTTGATGATCCTCCATAGTTCCACATCACGGGCCAATGGCTCACAGTACAACACACACACGTGCGCGCACACACACACACACAGTGTTTGGACACATGTTATAAAACTCTTTATAGCCTGAGCCTATGAGCAGAGCATCAGCAGCACCTGAAACAGTAAAAGTCAATTACACTTGCTGATCAGTTTCACTCGCTTATAGCTGATTTCTGCACCCCCATTTTCTCCCACAGCAGGATGGATCCTCAGGCTCTTACCATTGATAGCCTTTCCATATTCACACACACAACCCCACCTAAATCCTAATAGGCCTCTGGCTGACGGTAAATGGTTTAGATTACCTATAACTGACTCACTACTTCCTCTTTATTCATTGAGCATTTCTTTCTAATCCTCCTTCTATCCTTTTGGAGCCAAGCGCTCGAGGGCTCCTGGCTTCAACACTCCCAGAACAACAGAGGGTGGGAATAGGCACTGATAAACTTAAAGAAGCAGGGGGTTCTGTGCATAAACAAATAAGATGCTGCGAGGTTTTTGCTGACATGCATCCCTTGACTGTAGGGTCTGCCCAGCAACTCTCCACTTCCAGGTTCAAGCACCCAGTGCAAAACTGAACTGTTTAAATGGTGGGTAAAGATCATTTGAACTCAGTGGGAGACATGCAGGATTTGATTTGATGGGTTTTGTGGGCTGTGCGACGCTTAGATGGAGGGATTTAGGTGATGTTTTATCTCACTGAATTAGTGCGGTGCTGTTTGTACGTTCTCCAGCAAGGTTACGCTCAAATTTTGTTTTTATTAACATTGGTCTTCTGTTCTGAGGGAAAAGTACTGGCACAAACCAGAGCCACCTGAGACAGCTCTCTGCATAATCCCCAAAATGATTTGTGTTGGTAACTGATTGTCAAACTGAATTACAGTCATTGATACAAATTAATAAAAAACACAGACATGTCCTCTGACATAAAAAAAAAAGACGTTTCCCCAAAAGGATCAATAAAACTAATCTGGGCTTTAAAAGTATATAAATGTTTCTCATCTCATCACCTTAATGAGATTTTATCTTAACAGGCTTCAAATGTTTAATTTCTTATTACTTAAATGTTGTGTTAACCTTTATCCAATCAACTGTCTTAGTGTGTTTTGTGTTTCTGATAGACAAAAACATATGTTTATATATCTGGAATCAGCCTTAAGTGGCTCCTTTTTGATCCCCTCATGTTGCCTGTGCTTCCATTGTGTAAAAGTGATAATATATGCCCAGATATGTTTTTATATTATCAAAGTTAATAATTTTAATAACTTTTTGATTAGTAATTCAATAGAAGGCACTGAAAGCTGTAAACTGTGTGGGGTACTTTTAAGGAGGTATTTTATCAAAATGTAAATTTATAAAATGTTCTTTGTTTTTTTTTTCAGACAACAATGAATGTGAGTCAAGTATCTGCATCCACGCCCGCTCTTGTCGCAACCTGATCGGAAGTTACCTGTGTGACTGCCTTCCTGGATGGACGGGGCCTAACTGTGACATCAGTAAGTGCACAAGGATGAAAAAAAGTAACGAGAAGAAGGAAAATCATTTTATAAGTAAAGAGAGAAGAGACAATCCTGCGACAGATAGTAAACCATGAAGAGCTGTTAAACAGCAAGTCTGACTCCCTGTGGGCTGGAAATCATTTTACTCCAGCTCCAGTTTCATCAATCATCCTTCACAGCGTATCACTGCAGTGCACTGAAAATGCAACAAACACTATATAAAGGTCTCTTTTGGCTGTTCTCTCCTGTTGCTTTGTGCTAACTTTAGTCTCTTCTGCCTTCACTTTGAACATGTTTGATTACAAAGTTCATAGATATCATAGATATTCTGTGTTTGTGGGAGAAATTAATGTGGCATTCCTCGTTTCCCTGCAGGGAACAGCAGCTGTCAGGGTTTGTGTTTGAATGGTGGACGTTGTGAGGTAAGACTCCTGCCTGCCAATCTCTGTCTAATTTGCCTACAGTCTCTGCACCTGCTTCGTTGTTCTCGTCTTAAGTTTTTCACTACTCAGCATTCACATTATCTTGATCATTTTTCAGTATTTCAAGCAAAATATTGATATATAATATAATATTCAATATGAACTTTTAGGCATGTCAGCAGGGGCGCCACAAAGGGGAGAGGGGGACCACCCCACCACACCATGTGCCACTCCAATATTTTAAGTGGCCCCCCTATGGCCACCCCAGTGAAAAAAGTCTGGAGGTGTCCCTGTATGTCAGACATTATTCAGTACAAAGTTTTGAAGCTGCTGTGCTTTAGGTTAACTTAAATGTTCTCTTAAATATTATTCTGCCTGTCGCAGATCCTCTGTAACCCTCCCCAGTGCTCTTTTCTTCATGTCACACATATAAATTACACACAGTTGTGGTCAGACGATTAGATACACTCATCATGGGCATGACTGTCATGGAAATTTGGGGCTTTTAAGGTTTTTTGAACTGTTCTTTTCCTGGGTTCAATGATTGTACAACTGTTTGAATTTATTTTCTACTTTCTCTCATCCACAAGAGCTAAGATGTATACTTAATTAAATATTTTAATAAGTGGTACTGAAAATTAATTTGATAAGACAGAGGCCTGTTAACTTCTTGTTACTGATCATGATTGACTACAACTAGCCAACATAAAAAGAAAAAGCACTCACTGGACTGATGAATACTCACGACAATGGGAATGTCCACGGGAGTTAGTGAAGCTCTAAGGAGTCCACAGTGAAGTGAGTTTTACATTACCATGGATTAAGAGGGTGCCAACCAAGAAATAAGCCCCTGCTCCAAAATCAACACAAATCAAATGCTTTCTTTTAAAAAGTTGTATGGTCAGATAAAGGTTGAACTACAATCCCAGGAGATATGTTCTTGAGGTGTGAAGGCTTTTAAATCTAAGAACACCGTACCAGCTGTGAAGAATGGAGGTGGTAGCATCATGCTTTGGGGCTCTTCTGCCACAAGTGGTAATGGTATATTGGACAAAGTCGATGGAATAATGAAGAGGAAGAACGACCTGTGAATTCTTTAACTTTGCCTCAGATCAATAGCTAGATGGTTGAAAGTTGGACACAGTTGGGTCTTCCAACAGGACAATTATCCTAAGCACACATCAAAATTGGTTTTGGACTGGATAAAGCAGGCTGACATTAAGCTCCTGGAATGGAGTCCCCATTCCTAAAAGCCAGGGCTGTGCCAGGAGACCAACCAGTTTAAATGAACTCTATAAAATCTGCCAAGAAGAGTGGTCAAACTGTTGATGATTAACAAAAGTATTTGGTTGAGGTACAACTTGCTAAGTGAAATTAACCAAAATATTAATGGGGCTGTGTGCATATAGTTGAGCATGAGTGTATCAGAGAAAACCCAGAATTAAATTCAAACCCAATTCCTGTTTTTAAAGTCATTAAAGATAGATGCTGTACAATCATCAGCCTGGAAAAAGAACAGTTCAAGGAAGTCATTAAAAGCACAAATTTACCATGACAGTCATGCCAGTAATGAGTGGCTGTGAACATCTGACCACAACTGTATATTCTGACCCATACAGGACCAGGTGTCAGGGTCCAGATGTGTGTGTCCACCTGGATTCTCTGGAAAACACTGCCAAAATCGCCAACGTCTGTGTGATAGTGCCCCCTGTCTGCACGGAGGGCAGTGTGTGGAGAAGGATGAAAGAACAGTCACCTGCAACTGCCCCACTGGATATTCTGGAAACTTCTGTGAGGTTGGAGAACCTAATTTAATCATTTTTTTAAATAATTAAAACTAAATGGGTTTTTTTTTTAGTTGAACTAATGTGTGAAGATAATTTCTAGTAAAAAAGATGAAACAGGCATACAAGGTAATATTAGATGTTACAGTCTCTAAATCAAAGACTCAAGGGAACCTAACATAATCTAGCCTAGAAAGCTGCTCATATTCAATATACTTTTAATAATGTAAATATGATTACTTACAAAGAATAAACATGAATGAGGAAAATGGAAAACCTGGCAAAAATAAACAAAAGAGGAAGAAGATCATGAAACAACCATACAAAGAGCCATCAGATTCCATTTTCCCCTAAACTAATATTAATAACCTAAAATAACAGAACCAAAATCGAAAACATGACTCAACCCATAAACAAAAGCAGCAGAACGACATCACCAGTGCTGACAACGATCAGGAGACGAGGTACTGAGATGCCAACCAGAAAGCGCCGTGCTCCACCTTTTCTAGCTGTATATGCATGCCAGTGACCCTTCTGCAGCCAATCAGAGTGAGAAATGTATCAGAGGTGAAAGCAAGTTAATGAGGATGACAGAAAGATCAGAGGAAGATAATAGATGTGTGGGTGCACAGAGAGCGTGCATGACATTAGAGAATATTTCAAAAGAGTAATCCAAAAATCGATATGATGGATTTAGAAAAATTGGGATTTTTAAAATTTAGTCTTTATCAGAAGTTCATGTTACACAATGGTAAAATATGTATTTAAACCTGTTCCAGAAAGACAAACCTGAATATTTACAGTGCTGAATGTACTGCAAAGGTAAATGAAAAGCACAGTAACAAACGCATTATGCAGCTAATCTCAAGTTCAATTGGTTGGGGCGACGCGCTGTCCACACATACACTGGTATTTGGTAAACATAGCTTTAGTCTATGGATTTCAGCCTTATGTCCACACATACAACAACTGAAATGAAGATTTAGATTTAGAACGTTATCTACTTTTATCTCTGTTTTGACATCAGACTGTGCGGTTTTATCGTCTGCAGCCTTCTGATTGGCCAACATTTATGTTGCATAGAACCTAATGTTGTGCCTTTTTCTTTTTCATGTGGATGGAGATATTTTACAAAACAAAAGCAGAAAATCACTTTTTAAAAAAAGTAATACATGGACATGGACCTGAGTATAAATAAAACAGGCGATGATATCATGAACAAATGTAGAACAAGCTTATAATTAAAAATAAAATACAGAATAAAAATGGATTGAAAACTATAGACAGCACATCAGATGTTATTATTTATACCAAGAATAAACATGATTCGAGCATGTATAGCCCTATCAGAAGTGAAGTACATTAAAGAGTCCACAGAAGTAAAACTTTTTAACAAAAGCCAAACAGTAAATAAACGTTTTTATAATATTATAGAGCCCTCTTAGCTCCAAGTTTAATGCCAAAATTTGTTAACTGTAAAGTGATTAGTTGAAAATCTCAAGTATTTACGTAAAACAACAAATCTAAAATATTCAGGTTTATATATCCAGTGTCTTTAGTCTTTCAACTTTCAAGTTTATTTTTGTTTGTTTATTTATTTTTGTTTAACAATCCCTGCTGAGCTACAGGAGAAGTCACACTATTAGGAGGAAATTTTACACCAAAAAGTTTAAAAATGCTAAAACTTAAAAAAAATTAATTGGTTATGAATGAACATTTGAGTTTTAGCATTGAAAGTGAAGTAAGAAGAGATCTTTTAAAGATCCAATCAGAAACTTCACTGGAGGTTAGAGAGAAGTGGATATATCTCTTAACTGTCTTATTGTTTTGTTTTTCCAATATTTCAGGTCGTGTTGGACTTGTGCAATCCCAACCCCTGTCAACAAGGCCTGCAGTGTCACATAATAGATGGCAGGAACACATGCATCTGTCCTGACGGTAACTATGGTGACGAGTGCATGAGCCTCAAAAATCCCTGCATTGGTCACCACTGTCAAGGTGAGACAAATACTTGTGCATCTTTAAACGTATAAAATCTTGATGAACTCTGGTCTGATCTTTGACGTCTCCACACCTGAAGGCGCCATGTCTGACTCAGCACACGGGGGCCTGAGCTTCTACATGATCCTGGTGGGAGTCTTAGCTCTGCTGACGGTCTGTGGCTGTGCCTCCTGCGCCTTCATCCTGTCCCACCTCCATCGGAAGCGGAAAAAGCAGCAGGCTGTCCCGCAGGAAGAAGGCATCAACAACCAGAGGGAGTTTGTCAACCTCATCAGAAACGTGGACCGTCCGGTGCCCCAGCTGCCCGCTGCCGCCCCTCTCACAAACCCTCCAGCCCCTGCCCCCATCTCACGTTGCTACGAGGAGATTGAACTGACCCTACCACCCTCCCCGGCCCCTTCACACCCTTCCCCAGCACTAAAGCCAGCACATGCTGCCAAACTGGACATTTCAAACCAGGAGAGGGAGAAGTTGAACCGCCTCCACTATGCAGATAACCAAGAGCTGGAGGTCTGACCCCATGCTGACCTTTTAAAGCCCTGAGGAGCTGTTTTTTAAATTTACTTTGCGTCCTTAGCACTCTTTTGCTCACAGGACCCCGTCTCCAGTTACTTGCACTGTGTCGATGTTGCAGATATAAAAATTAAAGGTGACCCTCTGACCTTTATAAACACAGATGTCTGTGCTCAGACACCAGAGGAACAAAGGCTGCTAAGCGGAGGGGTCGAAAGAGCGTCGTCGCCATCGTCTTTGGACCTTCTTAACGGCCATGAAAAAGCAGCACAGGCATAAAGTTGAGCTGAAAGACTCAACAGTAAACTGAAAACTTAAAGACTTACAGACTTGCCTTTGAGTGCCTGTGAAACTGTCAAGAGTAAACAGAGGATCTTCCTCCATTTGAGTCCCGATACATTTCCTGTTCGGTGTTGCCATCTGACTGTTGTCCAAACCTCCACTGACAGAAAGGATCAGTGAACAGATGCCTATTTAACATTTTTTTTGTGTGTGTGGCTGTGTGTAAGTGTGTGTGAGAGTGAACAAAAGACTGGATATAGTTAGTTTTTGTGAGAGGGGAAACATTTCACTCTGCTTAGAGTGAAAGTGCATCCTCCTGAACCAAAGGCTTGCAAGCCTCCTGAGAACATTTTTAAAACTATACACTGATGCCTGTTTTGTCATGTAATACTGCAGTTTGCCCGAGATGTATGGTTTTTATCATACTTGTGTGTAACATGGTTGTTTTTGTACATAAATAATATTGTACATATTGATGCCCTTTTTGTACTGTGATTCATTCTGGAAGTATCACTGTATTACTGTCCCCTGTTTTTCCCCCTATACTTTCCATTTGGAGCAACCAGCACATGTGGAATGTAATAAAAGTGCATTTACCAACTCTTTTATACCTTTTATTAAACACCAGGGTTTAGTTGTCCAAAATAATCCCTGTGAGCCAAAAGCTTAGGCTTCAGACAGCTCTAAACCCTCTGTTCCAGACAGTTTTTCCTTAGGTCTGAATAATGAGAGGAAGAGCAGACAACCCTAACATGGTCAACTGCTGTTCAGCTCTTCTGTTTTTGAGGGGCAGCTAATCAGAGGAAAGCTGGTATAAAGAGGGAGGAGCTAAAGATGACAAGATAAATGATTTAGGACTGTGAATAATGTAAAGCTGTGCTAGTCGATAATAACGCCCCAGTCTCTGTAGATCTGCTTTTGACCATAACAGTATATGTAACAAAAGGCACCCAAGCTTATTTTTAAGCTTCGGAATAGCAACATTAGTCTTAAATTACTTATATTTGTTTAAGAGTTATCAGTTCGTCTAGTTCCTTGTCTCCTTGTATGCATTTTTCAGATGTCACAACCAAGCTTTCTGTTTATAAATCACTGACAGAGTCCCTTGAGAGGATCTTTCATGTTGGAGCACAGGCACAATGACTAGGTCTGTAAGTCACCATATACACAATGACTTTCACTAGTTTCCTTCTCTTTCTGATGCTGTCGGCGCCTGGAAAATATTGGAGACCACCTGACTGACCCCAGTTTTCCTAAAAAATAAATGTGTGGCTGCAAAAAAAAAAAAAGTAATAATAATAACAGTAAGTTTCAAGAGCAGTGGGTTTGTGCAAACTGCTGGTCAAAAGTATTTAAAATGCTGGAAACACTGGCAAATATTTACTTAAAGTTTCTGTTTTTAATGGGTCTGCAATGACTGAAGTTAAGTGTAACCATTTTTGCAGATATCAGACAGTCTATGTTGACCTAAATCATTACAGTAATGCATGCTGTGTGTTACTAAAATATAAAAAAATGTCAAGTGTAAGCAGCTCCAAGGTCACAGCATAGACATTTAATGTGCAAATAGATGTGACAAATGTGACCTCTGACCTGTGCAAACAGCGGTGGGCTGGAAATGAACATGGTTTCCTGTAACCATGCTGGTCATGAGGAAATGTAGAGAATAGAGTTTACACACACAAACGTAGCCGTATACATATACGTGCATATGTATGTACAAGCCTCTTTCTGCACCTGCTGAGCAGGATGTCAAAGCCCAGCCAGCAGATTAGAAAGCTTCAGATTCAGCCAAGAGGTCACTGCCCCTCAGTGTGAAGGTGTTAAATGCTTGTCCTTAGGTTCTGTTATATATGCTTTCACAGTGCTGGATGGTTCTATTAACATGGACAAAGATAAAATATTGTGATCTGGTTGACAGCCAACTGTGAGCACAGAAGCCCAATCCACATCTCAATGTTAATGTCATTTTTTTCATATAGTACATTTAATTATTATTGTCGTAAAGTACTAAAACCTAACAAAGTCAAGTTTGCAAGAGAAATAAAATACAAGTTAAAACACACACACACACACACAGTTAGAGGTCTATTAGCATTATAGACACTGAGAAATGTTCCTGGGACTCAAACCTTTGTAGAAGGATTTAGAAGTGATCCTGTTTTGACTTCAGTACTGTGATGATATGTTCAGATTTCAGATGAAAGGACTCTGAATAAGCTGAAGTCATCCTGATCGTTTGGATAATCCAGCAAATAAAGCATTACAGTAATTTAAACTGTAGTGATATAATCTCTCTGGTGCGTTCGGGGTCTGCCTCCAGCCTCCTCCCGGTGAGACATGCTCGCAAACCTCCTTTCCATGCGGAGCAGTAGCATATCTAGTCTGATCCCTCCCAGATGGATCCAAGTTACTTTTCTAAGGAGCTGTGTGATTACAGCACATTGGAGAGATAGAATATACTTTTATAAATAAAAGGTATTGTATATAATTTATTCATCCAGGTAAAAGTCTCATTGAGATTAAAATCTCCTTCTAAGGAGAGACCTGTCCAGGCACAAAATAATATAACAAGTAAAGGAACAAATATGACTGATATTCAAATATGCAAAACATTAAAAGCAGTCACACTGACTAAAAGAGGTATTCTCTAATTCCTTTAAAATGGTCTTAAACTCAGTCATATCCAGGTCTGACACTTTCAGCTCCGTGCTGACTCTGCGACAAATATCAGCATGAGATAAATAAGAGGAGTTGAAGATTCTTTATGATCATTTTGTAGTCACATAACAAAATGCTGTGTGTTAGCTTTCAGCTTAAAACACAGGCAGACACACAATGAGTAAATATACATAACAGGGAAAGATAACAATATAGATACATGATGTAAAGTTCAGCTGTCTAGTGCATGCCTTGGTTTTTTAATGTATGCAATGTGTGTGTATGTATGTATGAAAATCAGCAACTCCAGAAGAGTTGATTTATACAGAAAAATGTGGTAGTTAAAATGAATATAACAGATTCCCTTTAAGGATTTATTTTAGTGCCCATCCACATGTGCAGCTGATGCACTGACCCAAGGGCACCTGGGTTTGTATTTCTGACAGGGATTCAGGAGAGTTTGACAAATCCACAAATACAAGAAAATATATGGCTTAAACACTGAGTGACTCTCACTAGAGCAGCATTAATGCATGTCCTGGTGCACATAAAGTAGTCATAGACTGGTACAGGGGCATAATACTTTGTAGAAAAAAAAGATAAATTTAATTATTTTTAGCTGGATTACCACAAATGTTTTCACACACAGTTTGCCAGTTCCTTGAAAGTATCTCTGTTTAACTGTGATAACTTCAAATGTGCATCTCTCCTGTCTTACAGGGACATCTTGTGGCCAAATACGGTACACAACCTTAAAAACCACTGAGCCGTTTTTCATACTGAGTTATTATGTAACTTTCATTATGAAGCCAACAGATAATGTAAATAATGTGCACAAACTTTCGTTCAAAATAAAACACATATATTATCCTGTTAAAGTTTAAGGAAGGCTTTTTGGAAAGACTAATCTTTGTGCTGGAATAAGGTAGGGGAGACCGGGGATAGTTGTAACGTGGGTCAGTTGTAACACTTCCAATTTCTCCAATCAGGGCTAAGTTTCAAATGATGTGACTCATCCTGTGCATGCCCAATTCAGTTCTGCTATCACATGTGAAAAATCAGCACATTTTGTCAAACACAGACAATTTAACATGAAAAAAAGTAATTTGTATGCCAAAAAGTAAGTTTTTCTACTTTATTTCAATGTTTAATAGCATTATCTGCTTTGCAGTTAAACTCATCAAACTTAAATTATGTTATTTGTATGTCTATGGGGATATATTCTGTGTAGGTCTTTAGTGCTAATGTTTTAGCCGTTGGCTGTAATGTTAGCTAGTTCATGGCTATAGGAGTCTGGGTCAGTTGTAACAGCAACAGTCTGGGTTAGTTGTAACAATAATGCAGATGTTACAACTTACCACACTATTACTTTAACTTATATTAAACAAGTTTGTGAACGACATCAGCAGAGAGAGGTTCACTGGTCGCTTTTGTATATGCGGTTAATGCCATTGGCAACACAATTCCTCCACTGTTTGTGTTCCCACACATACATTATGCAGACCACTGTGTCAGAGATGGACCAGTAGGAAGTACTGGTAGTGGAAATAAATCAGGATGGGTGCAAGAAACAGATTTCCTCATCTTTCTGAAGCACTTTGCAAACCACACCAAGGTAAGCCATGATAAAAAGTAATGGAATTGCGATGCTGGTGAACAACTACATTTTTTCAGCTTCATTGTTATGTTCAAAATTGGTGCAAGAGTTGTAGGTTATAATGCCCACTGAGCCAATGAGGCCAAACTCAAGGAAGACCAACCAAAATTAATGAAATATTCAGTTGCAGAAAATTCCATAATTTGTCTTTTTTGGGGGGTTGGAATATGTTCAAAAGCTAGATTTCTGCATTCTGTCACACACACACACAGCTACATAAATGGATGTAAGTGCATTCATGTGTTGAATAAACAAAGATTACATGTTAATGTTTTGTTAGTACCCTTATTTCATTGTGTTACATTTCACCCCAGGATATGTTACAACTAACCCAGACTATGGGGTTAATTGTAACATTTCACTCTTTGTGTTTGAGACCATACCATGCAATGGGTAATTGTGCTGCAGAGAAAATAGCTGCACTATTTAATAGCAGAGACATGTAAATACTTTGCATTACATTTTGAATCCACTACCTTAAAAGAGCTTCAATTTACAGACAGAAATGTCAAAAATGTTACAACTATCCCCGGTCTCCCCTACTGTTCAGTTTCAGCAATAAAAAGAACTACATTTATTCAAACTTTTAACTATCATAGCAAAGTATAAACTAACCAATAACTTCATTGCTAATGTATTATACAAAATAAAATATTTATTCATAATTTTTCAAAAGGACACCGAGCATTGTATTAAAACCATCTGTAAATTTAAAAAGAAGAAGAAAGCTGCAATGTTTGGGATTCGTATTTTACTTAAGATAAGATAAGATAAGATAACCTTTATTAGTCCCACACGTGGGAAATTTGTTTTGTCACAGCAGGAAGTGGACAGTGCAAAAGTTATGAAGCAAAAATGAGAATACAATAAGAATAAATACAGTACACAACTGTACAGAATAGAATAAAATAAAATATTATATACATTAGAAAAAATATACAATAAGATAAAAATAGAATACAAATGCTATATACAACTGAGTAAAAATACAACGATGCCAGAAAAGATTATTGCACTTAGTGTTATTGCACATGTGTGGATGTGTGTGTTTGATCAGTTAAAGTCTTTATTGTGGAGTCTGACAGCAGTGGGGAGGAAAGACCTGCGAAATCTCTCCGTCCCACACCGTGGGTGCCGCAGTCTCCCACTGAAGGAGCTGCTCAGTGCTGTCACAGTCTGCTGCATGGGGTGGGAGATGTTGTCCAACAGTGATGACAGCTTAGCCGCCATTCTCCTGTCACTCACCACCTCCACTGGGTCCAGAGGGCATCCTAGAACAGAGCTGGCCCTTCGGATCAGCCTGTTCACAACCATTTGTGATGCTTTGTATAGAATCTCCTCTGACTCTGGGTTCTCTGCTGTGAAGGTAGAAGTATTGATGGTGATTATTGTTTACTGTGTTTTATTATAAGGAGATTTTTTTTTCAAAAGTATCTTCCCATTAATGTTACATACACACGCCTCCCCCGCAGCGCCCTCACAGGCCAGAGCCGGTACTGCAGCCTGTTATATATACGCTAAGGAGGCGTGTGGTTACGCTCCACTCTGCTAACGTCGCTTTTGGCCAACTGAAAACAACCCGAGTGTGTGTTGGCGATTAGTAAAACAGGTACACTGTGAGAATTTAGACCGCGCTGAATGCCCTGTACGTGTGTGTAGATTTCAGTGTTTCGTAGCTGCTTTTTGACTATTGTTCCCAACGCATTTGCAGATCAGCTAAGCTAGGCTAGTTGTGATGCTAGATAGCATTAAAAAGGCCCGGGCTGCATGCGCAGTCAGGCCCGTATGTATGCTAACAAACTCCTACATCACTTTGATAACACAGACTTTTTTAGCACCCCGCTGAATCTGAACGCTGAAAGTGGGGCGTAGACGGGTTAAAATAACAATTTTTAGGACAAACAGCGTTGTAATGTAACCGTTTTAACTACGTTAATACTGGATAGAAAACTAGGTTAGCTTTTTAGCTTAAGACTGTTTAGCTACTGCTGTAAATTAAAAGTACGTTTAGTGGTGGGAGATGCAGAGGTGACACCTTGATTCACAGATACTGTAATTTATGTGATGTACCAAAAT